AGGTTTGGAGCTAGTTTCTAGTCGGTTCAGAAAGTGACGTTTGGCAGTCTGGGATACGGGCCGCGGGCCCAATCCGTCCTTCACTGCCATGGTGTTTTAGCCCTGCGACACGGTCCTTGGACTCCAGCTTGGACCGAAGCGGTGCAGAACGAAAGCCGGCTCCAGGAGGACACGAGCAGGGTGGCAGTTGGCAGTGCAGTGTCGTCTCGGGTCTCTTTAGGATGCCATTTAAAGTTTCATACTGCGGTTACGAACGGGGGCTTCGGGTATGGGTCTTAAGTGCTAGAGCAACCCTTTAGGTCCCCAAGACACCTGGCCAATGACGAAAGCTCCTATTTCTTGAGCCATGAAAAAGTGTCAGAGCACATAGTTGTGCGTGTCATCCTGCAGGGGTCCATGCTGCTTGCATGTGCACAGTGCCAAACGCACATACAAATGGTTTGTTTAGGTCAGTTTCTGGTTTCTTTAGGGTTCATTTCATGCTTACGACACAGAGGCAGGCATGACCCTCCAGTGTCCAGGGGTCGGCGGCAGAGGGCGTAGCCCTTTAATATAGCTATGGTTGAACCATTTTATAACATCGTTGCAAAGTGCACTAAACATAGCTATAGGCCGTTGCAAGGTGCTTTCACCATAGCTTGTTTAATGGCCAAAATAGTGCAGAAAAACGTCCCAAAAAAAGCAAAGACTGTTTAACGCAGCCATTGGGAGAAAATTTTCACATAGCTATTGGAATGGTGGCAACGGACAGGTTTTTGGAACGTTCAATTCTAGCTCCAAAAATGAAAAAATGAAAAAAACTTAGCCGTTGGCAATGTCGGTGCTAACAAACGTAGCCGTCGGATCGAAATTTGCTCAATTCCGACGTCTACGTTAAATAGTGGGAGAGAATAAGATGAGTTGTGATAAATTAAAAAGGAAGGGTTCAATTTTGAATTGAGAAGTAAGAAAAGTTTATATGAGATAAAAATAATTGAGAACAGTTGTCAAAAGATTGTTCCTGCAACGCACGGGGCGTTTGCCCATCTCCCATAGGCACACTCGTTTATTTTACTCTATAGGCCCTATAGGCCTTTCATTCTTGAAACTTCCGACCCGGGCTTGCCCGGGTACTACTTGTACTAACACATGTTCATATCAGTAGCGAAAAGACATTAGCCCGATAATTGTTTGTTAAAATCAGCAACAAATAAAAGTGCATGATATATCATGATATGTCGTATTAGTGAGATAAACATCTAGTGCCTCCAAAACAATATACAATTATAGGCATCCGATATTCAAAATAAAACTAGGAAAAAATATCGCGGACACGTTTTAAGTTTCCGCGTCGACATGTTGTTTTTTAAATAATAATTATTTCTGTGTTAGATTATTGTGTGCTTGTCTATTTTTCCAATACACCAATGTTCAGTTCAGAATAATTTCTCCATAAATGTAGATTGATTGTTATTCAACTAGTTTATTCTTCAGGCGTCATTTGGTTTAGAGAATCAGACTATGCGCTTGAGTAAGGAAGCGTATCACCGTGCTTCGTCTCCGTTCGTTTCATAAGCCAAATCGGAAAAAGGATCGTTGAGAATTGGAGCAAGCCCAGGATACTGTTGATCAAAGGAAACCCACGAGTATTCGCCAAAGACGCCAAAGGCTGTACCAGTAGATTGCAGAAGCCAGCAATGGTCAAAGTCAAGCCAAAGCTTGATCCAAAGTTGGACTGCCCAAAATGTCGACCACAAAACACCGGATTCAAGGTATAGAAAAGGGGCCGGCAGAAAGCAAAACACACAAAGGCAGCTCTTGGAAAGGAATAGCTGGTTCCGATAGTGGAATAGACCATGAGCAAAAAAGTGAAGGCTCCGTAGGTACACTGCAGGATAATATAGCCCATTGCAACACCCAGCCTGTCAACGATAGTGCCAATCAGAGGCGCAAAAACGATTCCACCTGCGGGCAAAAGCCAGGCAAAGTCCGAGTTCAGAGTGTCAGCATCCTCCCCTGAAAGTCCTCCAGAAAGCAATTGTGGGTATGCAGTTGCAATGAAGAAGTTCAGAGAGATCATTGAGATAGAAGCCTCTCAGCGCCAGCGGTTTGCTGAAAGACTAAGCACACAAGAGCTGTAAGGTGGGCTGGTTGTTGCAAGACCATGCAAGACCTATAACATCCTATAACTAAGGCTAGAAGCTGTGTAGACCAGCAGCCAGAACTCAGCACTTCTGCAAATTTCCCAAACGTCGCGCTTCACAAGTTCCCGCCGCTCACTTTCCTCCCAAGAGACTGCATCAATGAATCTCAAAACAAAACTGTCAAGGTTGTCCTTCCTTCTGTGGCAAATGGTCAGCCCAGATTCATCAGCTGTTCTGTCTCGTAACGACAATTTGGAGCCACTAGCAACTCATGCAGGACAAGGTCGCAAATGTCTTCAATAACTTCAGTATATATATATATAATTATATATATATATTTTAATTGTATATATATATGTATTGTAATTATATATATATGTTCTTAAATTCCAATGATGTTTCTTTAGATCTGATAATGATAACCCCCATGCCTTGCCTTGGCCGACTCGACCGGCGAATCAGGCCACGCAAAGGTTGTGAGCCAACAAGTGGCTGTCATCAGCGCTAAAAGCCGGAAGGCTGTTCCAAAAGACAAGCCGGTGTCAATCATCGACCTCAGCGAATTGTAATTCATCGCGATAAGAACGTTGCAAGCTTCAAAGACTAAGAAAAAACAGCTGAAAATGGATAAGAATCATGAAGATCCATCTCCACAAATTTGGAGTTTCCTCACAAAAAAAGAAAAGAACAAACCTTGGATTCTTCTAATTTGATCAAGCCTCGCTAAGATAGCAAAATCACCAGAGGATGCATCAAAACTTCCCACCAAACAGGCAGTGATAAGACCTGCATGCGCAGGGAAGAAGTTTCCTTGGCTCAGGTTCGTCCAAATGAAGTTGAGGGACAGGCTTTCAGCTCCCCCATGACCTGTCCAAGCCTGCATCAACCACTCATTATTCGTATTGTATGTATTGTTAAAATATCTCAACCTTCCTGTCTTTCCAAAGATCAATTTAAGGACTGGAACCTGGTTCCAGATAAAAAGGGAAAGCATGAAGAGCACTTTCCAAGCATAAAGCAAAGTAATAAAACAAAGAATGACAAAGATATATAGAAAAAGTATGAAAAAGTATCAATACATGAATGAATAAATTAAATGCGTGTACAATTGCTGCCTCGAGAAATAATGTTGACATAGAGTCGTAGAGGTTGTTTTTGGATGTTTTTGGCAGGATGTCGCACCTCTGGACTTGCTGCCAAGTTTCCAAAACTCATCGTGCAATTGAAAATGTAAGGTCCGCTCAGTGACATCAAGATAAAACCAACTGTATAGTTGGTGTCATTCTCGGGTCCAAGAGAATAAATCCAACAGCCAAATGTCGCCAAGCCGCCAAAGACTGCCGCTGTGGCTCTGGGGCCCAATGCATCCAGCATCGCGCCGGATGGAAGCGTAAAAATATTGAGCAAAGAAGACGCAAGAGTGAACATTCCTGTCAAGCCTGCGCTTGCATGTATCAAGGAACTATATAGTTTCTGGTATTTTCTGGTTAAGTTTCGCAAAAGCAAATACAAATACAGCCCTTACAAGTTGCACGTACTCTTTGCAACCATGGGGCGAGCGATCTGCTCATTGCATGATCTTATGCCAGGTTGACAGACTTTGGCAAACGCTCCAACTTTCAATAAGGACGGCATCAAAGCGCTGAAGCCAAAAGCAGTCCCAGCAGTCACCAGGCAGCAATAAATGGCTGAACCGATGATTACAGCACGCTGAATGGCTCCGATGTCTTTGTGGTGGAGCGCCATGTTTATATGTTTCCCGCTGGCGCAAAACAGGTTCGATATCGGAACTTTGGGATCAAATGGCACGGCGAAGACCCTCACAGGAAAGGCACTTCGGACTTCATGTTGAGCTTATTTATTAGGATCTGAAGCACAGATCACCAAAAAGATAATCGGGGCCAGCATCATCTACCATCCAACAGAAGCAAGAACTCTCTCCAAACGCTTTCACTAAGACGGAAAGCGTCACTTTCTTCACCACTCTGAGAGTGAGGTTCTTCCAATCACACATCATGTGGGTTCTTGCATAATCTATCCTATTGTGAATATACCATGGAAACTCTGGGTCTCAACTGGGTCCGCCTCTCATATTCTCACGATCTCCGGGTTAGTCTTCCCCAGTCACAAAGCATGTCATGAATTGTATTAGTTCTTTGTCCTGTGTTTTTGCCCAAAAAGAAGACATGCTCCAACCGAGCACGGCAGTATGTTATGGCATGTTTGCTGCACCTTTGAGACAGGAAACATCGAATTCACCTAGATGAAGTGCATAATGAAGCAAAAAAGGGACTACCCCCAGTGTCCCAAGATATTGGTGCCGAAGATCAACTCTGAACAATCCATGGAAGCTGCTTCAAGCCAACTTCAAACAACTTTTCGACAGACCGTCGGGTGATGCGATGGCCACGCCACGCTCTCACGCAAAGCAAATGACATTGCTATGACATTGCTCGCCTTCATCCGGCGGCGCAGTGCTCGCAGGAATGGTGCCTGGCGGCTGCTTTAAGCGGCTCCAGCCTCGTTCCATCTTGGTCCTCACTGGAGCGTTGTACACCGAGAAAATTAACAGCTGGCACATCCTGAGCCTCCAAACACTCTGTTCTGTTGGTGTCTGTGGCTCAGATTTGGAGCCCCTGACAGACTGAAATTCTACGACAAAGAATTATTTACAGCTGAAGGCTTCAACTGAAGTTTGCGGCAGCAAGGACTGCTGGGACAGGAGGGCTAAGGTAGCATTGCCATCTGCAAAACCCACATATGATCTCGTTATCTCTCGCTATCTCGCTTGAGTCTATGTGTCCATTGACTGCCGATTGAGGAAATTTCTCGTCCTTCCTGCCCTGGTTCAACAGACATGATTCGTCTGTTGCTGACCTACGGTGGTGAATAACCAGCTAGATACATGACAAGCACAAAGACCAATGCCACTAAAATTGTTGCGAAAAAGGTCTTGATTGCTTCGATCTGCTTCTTCTGAGCCCATTCCTGCAGCTGCAAAGACCATCTGAATGTGATGAGTCAAATCATGGAGTTTTCCAAGATTGGACGATCTTTGCAAGGCTGCCTACGGGTGACATAGATCACTGAACACAAGGTTTCAATACCTATCAGGGGAGAATCATACTTTGGACCTTGTGCTCAAACCCGGAACCTCACCTGGTGTTCTCGAGGAATACGCCGCATTGTGAAGACTCCGTCAATACTCCAGCGACCCAGCATGTTTGAAGCTGGCAACAGGGCAAAGCTCAAGAAAAGGTCACACCCCTTGGTACGCATTCCCCGCCCCTGAATTGTTGAGCACTGCTTCCAAAAAGATTTGTATAGAAAGAACAAATGTCAAACTTTTAATATATTCGTTTCCCAAGTTAAAGACTGGAATCCTCATATTCGCGTGAGAAGCACCTCTGCCTGTGCAACCTGAACAGGTTGATGAAAAGAAGTTCCTGGAGTGGTTACAGATCATCCGTGTGAAAAGATCAGCCCTAGACTGGAATCTCTTTGCGTAGCACTCTGCCTTTCAATAAAAACCTTCGTCTTGCCTCCAATGCTGAACACTTTTTGAAAGCCAAGGCCTCATTCAGAACGAATGCTGGATGCATACAGGTAAAGCGCACCCCATGACATTCCAAAGATGCCGCCAAAACCTGAAGAGCTGAGTGGAGCGCATTTTCTTGACATGCAGGTGTGCTAAAACATGACCGAGTTGTTAATTTACCCTCTTGACACTGTGGGGAATGCAATGCTGTCGGTCCACTTATCTGCGATAGTGTCTATTCTGCTTCCCATTGCCTCAAGTTTCCGAAAAGTGAACAATTTTGACCCGAGAAACTTGAGGTCCAGAGCAATACTGCTCAACCAAAAAGTGTCAGAATTTAAATAGGTATGCAAAAACATGCCAGTCAAAACTATGTGAAGACCGCAGCCCACGCCATCTCCAAACCCAAAAAAAATCACCTGTGCAGTTTTGAAACCAACTGAACGGAAGCCCAGTAGGAAGAGCAGCAAGGCGGCCAAGAAAATGGCTGCAAATAAGCGAATTGTTGATTCTCTTTTGGTAATGCTCCGATTCTCCTGCACTGCTTGCTCCATGGCTGGCATCCTGATCCAAGTTCAGACAATGACACAAATTTTGCATGAGAAATATGCGGACCTGTAAGATACTGCGCAACGCATTGCAATGCAACAAAGACTCTGAGGATGAGGCTCTTGAAAAGGGCCAGCGGACATGGTCTATGACATAAGTTTGCTGCTAATTTGCTGTCCTTGTCTGTGGTTGGTAGCAAGCACTTTTAGTCTTTCGGGGCATCAAGATATATATATATATATATACATATACATATATATATATATAGAATTATATAGATAAATCTCGAGACGTTTCAGCTAATCACTGATTATCACCTGTTGCTTAACAGAAAAATCAGTTTATTCACGTCATGGACCATTCCTGTCTTTTCCTGAGTACGTAAATTGCTGCATTGGCGAGTCAGAAATGTCCCTTTCATTGATTCATTGTTCCCGACTGTTGCATTTGGACGCACCCAAGTGTATCCTGAACAAAGTCCTCTTATAGCAAATTGTGTCTCTTCAACATTTCACCATTTCTCCCTATTTTTCCCAGTTGCAAGTTGCAAGGAAACCTTAGTCGTTGATTCATACGCATCAAGGGTTGCCACTTGGCATGCCTTTTTCCGCTGACGCGTTGGATCCTCACTGCCACGAGTCTATGACCTTGGAAACGCAAAAGCTGAGCTAAAGGATTGCATGAGATTGAATAGTCCTTATTATTCTTTGATTACAGTGACTCAAAACAGTTTGGTATAGACTAATCATCAGGCGTTTAATATCATATGAGATCAGCCTGATACTGAATGTTGGAGGCAACAGCGCCCGGAATTTCCTATATTCTATACTTGGCGATTTCCGCATAGTTATTATATCATATCCGCCGACCCCTGCGATGAGCAGGGGAGCGCGTCAGAGAAAAAGTGTCGTTCCGGGCTTCGGGCGGCAGCCGAATGGGTCGACCATGTTTTCGAAGGGTTTTAGGAAGCGACCTCAGCAACTGAGGCCTGGCCGTGGCAGGGCAATGTGAAAAGCTGCGCGGGTGCTGTGGCGAGGCCGGCTGCTTCAGAAAGTTGCGTCCGGCATTGGCATCCTGCAGGCCGACCCCCTTTGAAACTGGCAGCTCCATGCTGTTTTGCTGTGGCGGGCCTCCTGTTTGGACCCTACAGGCTTCAGAAAGTGACGTCGGGCATTAGCTTGGCATTCTGCAGCCCGAGACCCTTCGAAGCTGGCAGCTCCATGCTGTTTTGCTGTGGCGGGCCGGTTGTTTGGACGCTGGCGGCGTGGCTCCCGAGCTTGTTTTCCACAGGCTTCAGAAAGTGGCATCCGGCATCGGCATTCTGCAGCCCGAGACCTTTTGAAACCGGCAGCTCCATGCTGTATTGCTGTGGCGAGCCAGCTGTTTGGACGCTGGCGGCCAGAGCTTCTTTTTTAGAGGCTTCGGAAAGTGACGTCTTGGCATTCTGCAGCCCGGGCGGCCCTTTGAAACTGGCAGCTCCATGCTGTTTTGCTGTGGCGAGCCGAATGTTTGGGCGCTGGCGGCGTGGCTCCAGAGCTTGTTTTCTACAGGCTTCAGAAAGTGACGTCCAGCATTGGCATCCTGCAGGCCGACACCCTTTTTGAAACTGGCAGCTCCATGCTGTGTTGCTGTGGCGAGCCGTTTGGATGCCGGCGGCGTGGCTCCAAAGCTTCTTTTCTAGAGGCTTCAGAAAGTGACGTCCGGCATTGGCATCCTGCAGGCCGACACCTTTTGAAACTGGCAGCTTCATGCTGTTTTGCTGTGGCGAGCCGGCTGTTTGGATCCGCGGAGGGGTCCGGAAGGAAAAATTGGCACCTTGGAGGTCTTTCAACAGAGATGGTCTCACATATCACCAACATAGCCTCAATATAGGCCCCAAGATGGGCCAACATGGGGCCAACATAATTAGGCCAACATGGGGCCAACATAGGGGCAAGACAGGGCCAACATAGGCCAAGATAGGGCTAACATAGGCCAACATAGGCCCAACATGGGCCCAAGATAGGCTCAAGGTGGCCCAACCTGGCCCAACATGGGCCCAAGGGCGGCCCTTCAATCCGGGATGGTCTAAGATATCGCCAACATAGCCTCAACATGAGCGCAACATGCTCCCTACACTGACTTCAAGCCGTTTCTCTGCCGGCGCCCAGCTGTCAGGCGTAAGCCCTTAAATAATTATATCACTACACAGAAGACTTATCAAGACACAACATGAATCACCTTGAGTCTGATATCATATTCAGTCCGCACCGCTCTGGCCTTCTGTCTTTTGGCGTTCGGCGAGAGTCGCCTACCCCCGATCCAGTGCACCAAAAATCCCGCGGCAATGGCAAGTCGTGGGAATTCTTTATGCACGACCACTATCAGGGACACATGGGACACATTACTTTGATGCTCACTACCACCACACGCCTGGGTGCCGGTATGGGCAATTTGAGCGTTTGCACTCCTTCAAGCAGGGATGCATCGGCAACACTCAAATCGGATTCGCAAAAGCGCAGTCATTGACGCTCCTTTCCATGGTGGCAGCTTTTCCGCCGAAATGATTCAAGGATTCCTCCCTCAGTTGCACACGGGCAAGGTGGTGAAGCTATATGTGCCTCAAGCTTACTAGTCTTACTCCATCTTGCTCCCCTGGCTAAATCAGGTCGCTGGCATACACAAGCAATCACAAAGAATGCACGAACAGCTCAGCCACATGCAGCCTCTATTGTTAGTTTTCATGATGATTTAGGTACTCTGTTCGTGACTGGTTTTACGCTTCACTGCCACCATACTTAGGCAGCGACCACGTCTTCTGGCGGAGGATGTCGCAGAGGACAGTCGCGACCCATCGCACAACTCTTCATACACCAATCAATGCATACCTGATGAAGCTAGACGTGCCAACATGCCAGTGAGCTGACTGTCAACATTTTATATACCAGGACCACCGAAGGAAGTTGACAAGCACTCTCCACTTGTACATCTTAAACGATTCCCGATATGACTCGTTGGTCTGCCTTTTTTCGCCTAAATCCATCGATGGAGGCAAACTTGACACTGCAACAGGGTCGTGCGCAAAGGCGAAGAGTTCCAAACCCTGGCAAATACTGATTGCCTCCAGTTGCAAAACCTGGATTCACCAATCTAAATATTTCAACAGGACAGTTTGCTTCGACAAAATGGCCGAAGATTCTATGAATTCCACGTCCTATAGTCCCTTCTGGCCTTTTCGCGATTGATTCGATGTGGGTATTCGTGTCCTGCATGAGCTGTGTCCAAGTTTTCTCACACCAAGTCTGCACTGAGCGAAATAGCACTATACCAGATGAAATTTAAGATTTACTGAAAAAACACAAGACACATGTGTATATCATGTTATGTGGGTACTTGATGGCTATAACAAAATACGGAAATATGCCCCACCGACGAACCAGTGACACCTACCTGACACTGAACACCTTCAAGCCTAACTAACAACAAGTTCGAAGAGCAAAGTCAGAAATCTACAGAATTGTTAGGAATTTGTTAGGAATGTTGAGAGAAAGTTTTCTCCTCGATCGACTCGACCATACGTCATGGAAGGCACTGGAGGAGGCGGGGGCAGCCGTGCACGCGAATGAGGCGCTTCCCGACGGTCGCGTCGCCTGGCGTGTCGAAAGTTTTTCGTGCACGAACAAGAGTGAAATAGAGAAGGAGACATACTGCGTGTGTGTGTGCGTGTGAGACACACCCGGCGCAACAAGCATCACCTCTGCGCATCGCGACCCTCTGACCTGCACAGATCACTGAACCATATCTCTACTGCTTCAAGATGTTCAAAATCAGAATCTCAGACATTCACATATTTTCAATTTTGATGTGTTCCAGTACATTTGCCATATACCTTGCGGCCGGTATCACCAATGACAATGTGTCGATTCCGGCTGGCACCTCACGTGTCTTACTCGCCGGCGTTCCTCCGGTGTATGGCGTTCCAATGGGCGCCGAGAATCAGTTCCTCAGCTAGAAGAAGATAGTGAACTAGCAAATCCAAGTTAGATCATCATAGTGTATCTAATTACTAGCGAAGCAAGTTTTGTGGTTCATGCTACACCAGTATAATTCAATAACTTTTTTGATAATATAATTCATGCCAGCTCGGAAGCAAAACGCAGAATAGAAAGGCCGGCAGACTGACAGTAGCTATCCGATCTATCCTCATCAAAGAGACGAAATCACCTGTGTGTAACGTGTGAAACCAGGCTCCCGCACGTTTGACCTCGCGGGTCCGCTCAGGACGCTCCCCTGCGGGCCCCATCTTTTTGCATATAGCGCAGCTATGCGCAGTGGGTCCTCTTGAAATCGTTTTGAAATCGTTCGATATCCCAGTAGTCTACCTATCCGTCTTGCTCTGGGTCCTTTCCTCTCACCAAACATGACGCAAGAGTGGTTATGCCCTTTAAGAACAGGTTACAGCACATGGAGAGGCACGAAGCGGGACAACACCGCCAACACCCCTTCTTCTCTAATTCTGCAGGAGCAGCAAGCTCACCAAGTATACCCAAATGGCAACGCGTGACAGCATCGTCTCTTTTTCTTCACTGCTGTTGTTGGTGCCGGTGGTGGCGATGATATGGTATGGACCTGCCAAAAACAATGGCCTGGAGACATGCTCCGCAGTCGCTCTCCGCGCATCAGCGGCCGGCTGCGGCTGCGGGACCTCTCAGCGAACAAATTTAGGCCAAGGTGAGAGGACATGGTTGCGAGTACTACCAGTAGTACCGCACAAGGCGGTGGCGGAAGTTTCAAAAATAGGAAACCTAAAGGAGCGGTTGGTTGTTGTGAACCGCAGATGGCAGAGCGAAGCCACTGATGGACCAAAAGGTGCTTGAGGTCTCCTCTCTTTCTCTCTCTTTCTCTGACTACCTACCTACCTACCTACCTACCTACCTAGCTAGCTAGCTAGCTAGCTATCTATCTCTCTCTCTCTCTCTATCTGTCTATCTCTCTATCTGTCTATATCTCTATCTGTCTATCTGTCTATCTGTCTATCTGTCTATCTGTCTATCTGTCTATCTGTCTATCTGTCTATCTGTCTATCTGTCTACCTGTCTATCTGTCTATCTGTCTATCTGTCTATCTGTCTATCTGTCTATCTATCTATCTATCTGTCTGTCTGTCTGTCTATCTATCTATCTCTATCTGTCTATCTATCTATCTATCTATCTATCTCTCTCTCTCTCTCATCTGTCTGTCTGTCTGTCTGTCTGTCTGTCTGTCAGTCTATCTATCTGCAGGCTTGGAAACGAAGCTATTCTGCGAGACTTCCTCAGTTTTTGAACTTGACAGCATCAAAAACGTAGCAATTCAGCGAGACCTCAATTTTTGCATTTGACAACATCAAAAACGAAACGAGTCTGCGAGACTTGCTCATTTTTCGAAGTTGACAACATCAAAAACGAAACAATTCTGCGAGACTTCCTTCAAAATTGGAATGTTGAGTGCAGAGCTGACGGCCTCGTACCAATGAGTTTTGCGATTTTTCCACTCCACCTGTCTAAAGTACTGCGCCTGCCACGAAAAAGTGATGCCAGGTCATACGAAGTGCTGCACCTGTCACACAAAGTCATCTCAGCAAACCTGAAGATCTGATGCTCCAAAATGCAACCCCTCTCAGGAAAGCAGCGCCCTGACCTCCTAACATCACTGATGAACATGTCTCTTGTACTGCGCCTGCCACGGAAAGTGCATCTTTGCAGATACCCTTCAAATGTCCCACGCCTGCCATCGTTTTTGGAAATGCTACAAAACCCTCACGTTTTTCTCACTTTTGACAAGGTGCACAATCCCTTGCGCCTGCCACGCGAAACGACATCTGAACGTCAAAAAGTGTTCCGAACCCCTGGTGTTTTGAACATTGTGACTTCGAAATGTGCTTCGCGCCACAACGGCGGGCACTTTTTCGACATCTCAACTTCCAAAAGTGGTCCGGACCTGGTGTGTTTTGTACATTTTGACTTCGAAATGTGCTTCAACGGCGTGCACTTTTTCGACATCTCAACTTCCAAAAGTGGTCCGGACCTGGTGTGTTTTGTACATTTTGACTTCGAAATGTGCTTCGGGCCACAACGGCGTGCACTTTTTCGACATCGCAACTTCTACAAGTGCTCCGAAGCTGAGGTGTTTTGTAAATTTTGACTTCGAAGCGTGCTTCGCACCACAGTGGCGTGCACTTTTGCCACATCCCAACTTCCAAAAGTGCTCCGAACCCGTCAGTTTTTTGCGCCTTTGACTTGGAAACGTGCTTGGCGCCACAACGGCGTGCAATTTTTCATCTCTCAGCTGGCCAGCTGGCTCCGCACCCGCCGCTTTAGTGAGCCTACTTTTCGACCCACCGGAGCCACAAATCATTGGAAAAACACAGTGTTTCGCGACTTTCCTACCTTTTCGCGCACCTGGATCTTCTTTCTTCTGAGACTTTCTCTTTTTTGATCTTCTTTCTTCTTCTCTTCTCTTCGCTGACTCTTCCCATCTCTGCTTTTCATCTGTCCATATTGTCGGAAGTTTGACTTCTAAACTTCCTTCCACAAGTACTTGATCAATAAGTTTACAACACTATTTGAATGGGCAAAAGTGCCATGTAAAGCATTTGCAATCATGTTGGATTGATGCCAATGTTCCGATGTGTTGTGGTTCCAAAATGAGAGCTAGCGGTTCCATGACTGCATGCCGAAGGTTGACTGGGCATTGCCAGGACAGAGCTATGGCAATTTCTCGAAGAATCGAACAAGTCCAAAGCAAGAACACGGTCCAAAAATGTCGCAAGTTTAAATATGGTCACAAATGGCACATGCCACAACATGCCACAATAAATGGAGCACATGCCACATGACTTCCACATGTCACAAGTGGCCACAACTTCGTCACGCCCCAAGACCTCCTCGCCAGAGCCGGCGCCGCGCTCGGAACGGCTGGGACCTCATCTGCAGTGTCTGCAGTGGTGGAGCCCGCAGTGCCCGGAGCGCCCCGGGCGCCGCTGGGCGCAGTGTGCGCAGTGTAAGGGCCACTGGAGAGGACATCCACTGGAGGATCCTCCTGCAGTTGCAACATATTCAACATATTCAACATACATCAACATACCGCAAAAATGCCGCTGTGACGCTTCCACTATGTTTACTCTGTTTAATTCTTTTTATATCTTTTTATGTTTGTTCTGATGTTTGAACATCGACATGTTTGGAATGGACTTCTCCTGCCCATGGGTGATCTCCGGATCGCTGGCCTCCTTCAGGTGTGCTCTGCAATATTCAACAGTGGACTTTGAAAAAACCAAGGGAGGCATGGTTGTTCCCCCCTACAGACTACAAGTATCTATACATACTATACAGACAGACTGTTTTCATCTACCCAAGCTTTCTGTCTTAACGCAGCCTCCCTGGCCTCTTGTGGCAAGTCTGTCACTGAAGTGGGGCTGGAACTCTCGGAGGCCTAACGAAACAAGAATCGTTTCAGGCCTCCATGGTTGCCGTTTCAACTCGTGTCCCTGTCCATAGTCCATGGAGTCCATGTGCAAAGTTGAACACATTTGACAACCATTCCATTCCATTCCTACATACGAAGCTGATCAACAGACATAAACGGAATCTTTCTCCTGTGCGATCCATTGGATTGCTACAAGACATCGCACCTGTGGAACCTCCACTGGTTCAATTGGCGGAGCATCAGCCAGGGCGAGGGAAGGCACCTTTTCCTCGCAGAGCCGCGAGCTCTGAGCTAGTCCGTGTAGTCCGTGTAGGAAAACAGCAGGTGAGTCATCATTGAGTCATGCCCAAAATGACCAAATGAATCCGACGCTGATAGTTGCCTGCTTTTGAGACGCCTGATCTTGGAGTTCTGTGGTCAGCCTGGGCAACACATAGCTTGCTCCAGAGACAATGTAGCAATGTAGCAGTCCCTAACCTCCCTTGCATTTCTTGAAAGAGTCCCCCTTTTTGCCAAGAGGCAGTTGAAGCTGCGCAATCTGGGTCCTGAGGCCTTTCGAAACGGGGAATTTGTAGATCACCATAGATCACCCAAAGACGGCGCACAAAGGTCCTACTCTCACTGTTGTCTCTTCGAGCTTGTCTTTTGTTTCTTACAGCAGATTGCATTCAATCTTGTTTTCCCACCTTGCACTTCTTCATTCAAACGTCTCACTGTTTCATTGAGGTTCCTTGGCTGCAAGGTTTAAACTTCATCACCGCTCAAAATTCACATCTGCTCCCGTCAACCCTCTTGAGCATATGTCATTGCCCTATGTTTTCAAGGGGCGCGGAAGGCACAAACTAAGAACTTTGCACACTCGTCAGCATTGACTAATCTGAAAAAACTACCGAAACTTGGACGATTCCGACTCACATCATATAATGATCCATCATGACCAAAAAAATGCCCAACACAAGTTGTCAACTCTCGATTTGATCAATCAGACTGCTATCCAGCAGAAACCAATCAGCAACAAACTTTGGGCAGTATGCAGAATCCCAGAGGTCTTGGGACTCTGACTGATTCTCCTCTGTCATCTGCTGCAGCTTTTGTGCCTGGTATCGGAACAAGTCGCGTGCACTTTTGACTTTCACTGTATTTTCTGCTTCTGGTATCTTCTGGTAAATCTCCGTGCGTTTCTTCTCTCAACGAAGTTAGAGATAGAGCAACGTGGTGCAGTCTATTGGATCACTTCATTCAATGGTGGCAATGGCTAGGCATGAACCAAAAGAGCCTACAACATTACCTAAAATAATAGCACGCTTCCTTCAGGCCTTCATCATCTATGAGAATCCCTGTCTTACAATTGTATACACTTGCATAGATGCCAGAGCGATGCCACTGCATGTGTATATATAATTGTGATTATGTATATAGACATAGATAATATTCTGTAATATTCTGTATATATATATATATGTATATATCATCGGTATAGTATCACTAAGAGACTATTTTTCTTTGTCTGTTCAAATGCAGTCCATTCCGCAAGGGCTAAACACACACGTTTTTAGGATGCTTGTGAAACGATGACAACTTCTGTGAATCGGTGACAATGCGACTAAACGCCACATTAACCTCTTGACTGGACTATAGCCACGTCGTATATATGTTTAAATGTTTTAATCTACACAGTACAACCCCCTGATGCGCCCAGCCTGCTCCTCGTAGTCCTTTGTCTGCTGAGATGCCTGACGCTACGGGATGCACCAACACTCTTTGACGCTACGTTCACGTCTGTTGCCCTGCACTTTCCATACTTTCCCGGACTCAGGCTGCACCTCTGCAGAAAGCCTTGGCCAAGCTACGAAGCTGCTTACATGTGGTTCAACTCTCAATTGTCATGAGTCATCAGCCATCTAAAGCCTGGAATTGGCAAATACACAAGTGGTTTGGAGTGCTGCAAACGTTCCAAAGTTGGCAATGAACGAAACTCTTGTAGCTGCCACTACTAACACCTCCCATGGCAGGAGCGAACTGAGACAGAACAACACTTTTTGCAGCTGTGACACTGATCATAAAGAGCCTGGTGCAGATTTCAAAGCCGCTTCCTTGTGTCTCCTTCTAATCAACTTTCATACTGTATGTTCTTCTGTATCCTGCCAATGTCTCCGGTATTAAACAGTTCCTTGTCAAACCCCCATTATTCATGCAAAGAGTTTTTGGAGAGCCAAAACAATACCTGCTTCTATCAGCCTGCAGAAGCAATTCCTCTGCTTGTGGAATGCTGTCAAGTGGTCTTCAATCTTCCATGTTGACAAAAGAACCAAAGAACTGATCTCGCCTTTTGCTGGTTCAGCTGGGACTCATAAAGGGCAAGCTTCTCTGTGTCCTGCTCGTATGAAGAAAGCAACACCTGGCAAAAACAGAGAGAAACCGTTGGAGAAACCGGTGCAAACAGAAGTTTTAAGAGACACCTTGAGAGACACGTTGGATTCACGGTCAGCTCTGCAAGCCCAGCCTCCTGACCATCATGGACGGCCTGGGAAACGTGGGAAGCTGATACGGCGGATCAAGATTGGATCAAGCTAGTTCGAGCTGTTTCAGGCTGCTCGCAATCTGGAAGCGAGATGAATCATCTATGAATTCCAAGCTGTCTCTGGTCGCTCTTAGAGTCTTAGACCTTGTTTTGGAGAGTCGCGTAGCTTGTTAGCTTGTATTGTTTCACTGAGAATCTGCGCGGAGCCCAGCCTTCAGAATGCTTTCAAACGCCTGGCACTGGGCACGAAACAGTTTGGTACCAGGCAAAATACAGCAAAACTGCAAAAAGATGCAAAAAGTAAGAGAACGTGTAATTCCAAATGCAACAGCGATTCGCCTCAGGGTTCTATGGAACGTGAAAAAAGTCAGAATAGCGCCGTGCACTGCGACATTTGACCGATTGAGCACAGAACGATGTGCTTGACGAGGTTTGGAACATCATTTTTTAATGAAAAATGTATAAAGACTGCCCTTTTCTTTGAACTAGCGCAACACATGAGCTGAAGGCTGCCTTGCTGACATCTGTGGCGAAGTGCATCACTGCAGCAATGGAAAATAGCAGCAGGTGGACCAATTGGCCGTGACAGCCTGGATTATTGGCCTGTTGGCTCCCAAGCTCCTGAATTTGTTGAACTCCTCCATTTGATGATATTTCATGCATTTTCATGCTGCAGAAAAAGGATGCCAACCACAAAATCTATATTCAGGTTCGTGACTAGTGACTAGTGTAGGAGGCGTGCCAAGTGAGATTCAAACACTTGCTTAAAGCTAATAGATTGACAGAAGAGAGTGAATCAACTCTCAATCGACAACGAAGTAAATGCATGCTTACCATACCGTTTTGCTCAAGGGGTCATCACCTGCTGTTCATGTCTGATCTTCCATATGTTCGAATCTCAGCAGTTGCCCTTAGCTCTGAGAGCTTCATGGTTTCGTGAAACATTGCTTGGGTTCTCCTGGATGAAAGCCCGCATTTCTCTCAAGTATTCTGGGCCAAGAAGAGCTGGCAAAACCCTTGGGATCCATGCAGTTGCTGTCTCAAAGTGATTGTAAATTATGTCAAGTCTGAGTGAGCCCATGTGCCCAATCTTGGTCAAGAACTTTCAAGGACTCCACGTTGTGATCCTGCTTTGTTTGCCCACCTTGCTACTTCATCCTCGTGACACTCGCAACACGTACGTGTGATACTGGTCACAATAACAATCAACGCTGAACTCCTGGTGTCAGTATGCACTCGAGGTTCTGATTTCTTGCCCAAGCAAGCAGCATAGAAACTATGAAGCGTTCTTTGGCTTCCACTGGCAACTTTGGCCTGCCATCATTGTGACCTCTCACGCACAAGTTTCCTTAGTGAAAGTTGGTCGGGGACCATGCAAAGAATGGTTTTCCTTCAGTAGAAGCAGTAATCAAGCCGTGCCCATCAATTGTGTCGGCAATTTAGCAGAAATGCGTGGATCCGAGCTGCTGCAAACCCCCTGCATCAAAGGTGATCATAGTAACCAAACGCCACCTGAAGGCCAGCATGATTCAAGCCCAAATCAACCTAGGGCCTAGGGTTTGAACATTGCCAGATCTGGCATGCTTCACTACTTGGTGTCTGTAATTCATTGATGGCAATATTTGGAGGAATGCTTTACTTATCGCACAGATAGATTTCCAGCTAGAAGGGCTACCCCTGTAGGAGTGCGCCTCCAGCGAGGTAGCTTCAGAAAATTCAGCATCACATGATCCTTGGCAACTCGATGATAGTCCCACTTCTTGAAATTCACCCGGTTACCCGGGTGAAGTCACCAAATCTCAGCAATTTCAGAGGCTCAGCAAGCTCGTATTTCTTGATCCAAGACATCAATGTCTACTAAAGGGTTCATGATATGATGGTGCCCAAAGAGCAGGGTCAAAATCTGTTACAAAATGTGCAAACTGCACCGTTTGGCTGTGCAAGCTAGTGCATTTCGAGATGCCATGAAAATCTTTCCCTTTGCCCCCTCGCCTTAGATCACAACCATTCAGCAGAACCACCTGAGAACCCCAGTTTTTTCTTAAGTCTCAAAAGGTCCCTTTCTGGCCCATGTTGCAGGTTTCATGAGAAACCCTTCGCAACTGGCCAATCAGCCAAACATGTTTTTTTGTAACAATTCATTCGTCTCAAGCACAGCAACTTCACGGTGCTTACGGGTTGGAGTCAAGCCGCGATCTCCCAACAGGAAGCTCAGCAGTCTTTGCAGCTCTTCCTCCTGGATATTCATCGCAGAGGCTACCTGGAACTGTGGCCCACTGTGGCTGTGATTTTTCATCGCCTTGAGAAAACCAGCCGATCTGCTCAAATTGGTTGCCTGGAAAGATTTGAATCATGATGAATTATGTGTTTTGTTGCAACCAAACAATTACATTGATATATGTATGTATTGATATATGTGTGTGTATGTATGTATGTATGTATGTATGTATGTATGTATGTATGTATGTATGTATGTATGTATGTATGTATGTATGTATGTGTATGTGTATGTGTATGTATGTGTATGTATGTGTATGTATGTGTATGTATGTGTATGTATGTGTATGTATGTGTATGTAGGTGTATGTAGGTGTATGTAGGTGTATGTATGTGTATGTATGTGTATGTATGTGTATGTATGTGTATGTATGTGTATGTATGTGTATGTATGTGTATGTATGTGTATGTATGTGTATGTATGTGTATGGATGTGTATGTATGTGTATGTATGTGTATGTATGTGTATGTATGTGTATGTATGTGTATGTATGTGTATGTATGTGTATGTATGTGTATGCATGTGTAGGTATGTGTATGTATGTGTATGTCTGTGCATGTATGTGTATGTATGGGTATGTATGGGTATGTATGTATATGTATGTGTATGTATGTGTATGTATGTGCAGGTATGTGTATGTATGTGTATGTATGTGTATGTCTGTGCATGTATGGGTATGTATGTATATGTATGTATATGTATGTATATGTATGTATATGTATGTGTATATGTATATGTATGTGTATGTGTAGATGCATAGATGCATAGATGCATAGATGCAAAGATGCATAGAATCATAGATGCATGTATG